CCGCCGTGGCCCGGGCAGGGAGCGGGTTTTCCCGGGCGCCCGAGGAGCAGGCTCCGCCCGCGGGCGTCCCCCGCCCTCGCGCCGCCCTGCCGCGGCACTCACCTCCGTGGAGGCCCCCTGGATTCCTTCCGGGCCGCTGCGGACCCCGAGCCGGCCTGGGCGAGCTGCCCGCCGATTCCGGTTCCGCGGCTGCCGCGAGGACCCTTCGAAGCGTCCCGAAGCCGACGGGGGCCCCCGGCCACGCCCGGCCGGAGCGGAGGAGCCGAGCCGCGGACAGGAGCGCGTCTGGCACGACGCGGGCTCCGAGTCACGACTGGGCTCTCGCTGGCACTGGCTGGTCTAGACACCGCAACCCCACTGCAGCTCTGACGTCAGCGAAGGTGCGAAAACAGGGCCCCTTCTGACGCACGGTGCCCCGCCCCCCGCCGCCCGCCCCCCAGCCCGCCGCCCGCCCCCGAGCCCCTTCCTCCGGCTCTTAAAGCGCACACTTCCTCCCGGGCGGCGCCCCACCCCGGACCTGCCCGATCGATCTTGCGACCCCCGAAGTCCGAGGTGCGGGCGGGGCGTCTGGGCGGGCGGGCGCGGGACACAGACCCGGGCCTTAGCGTTGGGAGGAAGAAGACCAAAATGGCTAGATGAAAAATGGCTCGGCCGTGCAAAGCAACATGTGAATCCAGAATGGGAAACGGCGCCCCAGGGGTTAATAGAGCTCCTTGTTGTCCAGTGTCTCTGCAGTGAGGTATTTCAACCAAAAGCTGCTTTTCAAAGACCAGTTTACCGAATGCAGCCGCTATATTGAGGTTGCTATCACGTCCAGTGGTTTAATGCAAAGTAACCGTAAAATGAATCCTCTGGATGAGCCCCCTTTAACAAAGAAGACCGAGGCCCCTTTAAAGAGAAAAGGGATTTAAAGCCTTACGCTGCACATGAAAGACTTATGAATACTAGCAAATATCTGTTTTTCGTGTTATAGTCACATGCCTCCTACAAACGCAGTGGTGAGCAAAAACAAGCATTTTAAATATCATGGGGGCCACAAACTCACTACTGAATGTATTACTTATAATCTGTGATAAGGGCAATAACACTTATCCAAAATGGAGACAGCCTCCGAAAGCTTTCTTTTAATTTCCTTTTTCTTTCTTTTAGAGACAGGGTTTCCACTGTGTAGCCCAGGCTGGCCTCAAACTCCCGATTCTCTTGCCTCGGCCTTCCAAATGCAGAGATTACAGGTGTGCACCACTGCTCAAGGCCTGAAGAGCTTTGTTTTGTTTTTGTTTTGTTTTGTTTTTTAAAAAGTGGCTTTAAAATGAACTAGCTTGCTCTTTGTTGGTTGTGCCTTTCTGGAAACATCCCAGCGACTCAATAGATGCCAGGCAAAAAGGCCTCTTAGTCCTGAGGGCCGCTTTTTCTTTCTTTTTTTTTTTTTTAACACACCAAAACGGATTTCTGAAATGTTTTCCACATCTCAGCCTTGGAATCATCGAAGAAAACAGGCCATACATTAACACGGCCACTCCAACATAACTGTTTCAGCTACTGCACTCGTTGTTCGCCCCACACTCCAGCAGCTCTGAAATTAGGATGCATCTTAAAAACTCAGGGTCTTTTGATTTTTTTGGCCAGGTGGCAGTATTGCTTCCGCATACAAAAGACAGCGTTCTGTTCAAACTGTCTTCTTTTCAAATGAGTAAACTGCCTTGTTTAATGAAACCCACAACCCTACAAGGAAGCAAATTATTAGACATTGACATCGTACAAACTTGAAAAGAGCAGGAACGCACACATGCATGGTGCGCATGAACGCGTACATTTACACACACACACACACACACACACACACACACACGCAAGAACTTGAAAAGAGATTTTTCTGGGGAAGAATTCTTCTAAAACCAGAGTTTCCCCATCACTTGAAAAGCAAGTGATGGGACTGGATAAAAGCGTTTACCGTGCTGGGTGGGAGTCACAACCCACTCCCAAGAACAATTCTCACTGCATTTTCTGAATCTGTATTTGAACAATGAAACTACAACCAGCAGGGCATGGTGGCACATACCTGCAATTCCCAGCACTCAGAAGTCTGAGGCAAGAGAGGAGGCTAGCCTAGGCTACATAATGAGACCTTGTCTCAAAGAATAACACGGGGGGGGGAATAACTATAAATTTAATCCTACCTATGCCAAAAAATAATAAATAAATAATAAATAAATAACACTTGACTGGTCATTTTATTGCTGATGGACAAGCTCACCAGTTACACTCTCTCTTAAGCTTTTAATCTAAAACCACTGAAGAGAGAGAACAAGGTTTGGATATCACCTGAAACAATTGTTATCTACTTAGATCAAGAAAGCACCAGCATCAAAATTTGCAGAATAGGTGAGATCAGCTGCTTGAAAGAAAATCCTGGATTCCATAGTGGAAGATCACTAGCACTTTTTAAAAACATGTTTTGTTATTGTGTGTTTATGTGTATGCGCTGTGTGAATGCTTGCGGGGGGGGGGGGGCTTGCATCGCAGAGCCCATGTGGAAGTCAGAGACTAGGGATTCATTTTCTTCCTTCACCATGGGTTTCAGAGATTGAACTCAGGTGGTCAGATTTGCACAGCAAGCAGCAAGCTGAGTCACCTCGCCTACCACCAGCAGTTTTGTGTCACAGAAGGCAGTACAATCTGGAAAATCACAGCAATCAACAAGTGATTCAACAAGTGATTCAGCAGAGGTCTGAATGTGAAGAAGTTTTTGGAAACACCTTAAGCAATTTCCCTTCTAGTTCCTTATATGCTTTGATATATAATGTATGCAAAGTTTAAAACGGCTTTTGCAAGAATGAAAAATAATAAAGTACAGGAAACCATTGTGTTATGGTTTGATGCCCATAAATCCTGCAACTATTAGATTACTATTCCAGCAACATTAGAGGAAGGGATATTCTGCATCAGATTTGCAACTCAGTCTGTCTATGGGTAATGAGTGATGGTACCGTTCATTATCTATAAGATTAAGATAAAAAATTTCTCATTTCCAGCATCCTTTTAAATCCATTATACAGCTGAACACAGAGCAGGTACTTATCTAAACTGACATTAGTGATCAAGACTGAGTCTGCATGCACCCCATCTCCTCTTCGGGAGTACTTGGTTTTGGGAGAAAATGATCCTTATGTATGTATTATCTCCTATTTTCTTCTGGTGGGAAGAAACATGAAAAAAAAAAAAAAAAAACATGTCCAGAAATCATTTCAACAATGTCTACATTCTGTATGCCGTTTAAGCTAACATTAGGCTGATGTTCTCTTTAACAGAAAAGTTGTACAGATCTCACTGCTGCGTCACAAAACAATTTAGATTCCATCAACTTGGGAGTTTTGTTACTTTTCCCCAAAATCTATTCCTGTGTACTTTATTGTGCCTATCATAGCCAGGTAAGGTCATTATGAAGCTTTTACATAATAGCCTGGCATTTTACCTCTTTAAAGACTATAGTGGGAACCAGGTATAGTGGTGCAGAAACCTAATCCCAATACTCAAGGGAATGAATGAGGGGCTGAGAGATGGTTCAGTAGGTAAAGGGACTTACTGCCAAGCCTGAGGACCTAAGTCCTCAGAAACCATATGTAGGACAGAATCAACTCCTAGAAGTTGTTCTCTGAGCTCCACACGTATGCTGTGATGCCTATGCATGTGCACGTGTGTGCACGTGCACACACACTAAATAAATGTGTTTAAAAAAAAAAAAAAAAGGCTGAGACAGTGGGTCACCAGTTTGAGGCCAGCCTGGGCTGTATAACTGGGACAGTATTCTCAAAGAAACAAATAACAACAACAACAAAACCCACAACAACAGAGAGTACATGTCAGGGCTGAGGGTATGTGTAGCTCAGTGGTAGAGCACCTGTCCAACATGTGTGCACAAGACCTTGGATTTGACTCTGGGCACCAAAAACAGTATGTCATATTTAAGGGTTAATAATTCACTCATAGTTCCCATCCAAATCATAATTTTAAAACTAATGAGAATGGTCACGAATTATTTGCAAGTTTGTCCTACTGGCTCCTCTCTCCATATGCCTGGTAAAAAGCAAGATGATAAAGCTGAAAAGCTCTTTGCAGCAGTGGGCAGTGGTTAATGCACAAACCCATAAGTGGCCTAAGTACCAAGAATAAGAGATGGTGGTGCACTCTAAATGGAACTGCTGTGTCACCCCTTCAAGGCTCAGGGAACATTAAGGGAAGAGAAGACAGAAAGAAGCAAGAACCATGGGTTAGGGAGATGTGGGGGGCGGGGGAAGCCCTCTGAACATAGCATAGAATTGCACTCGCTGCAGTTGTGGTTATCCACACAAGACGTGCACAAGATTGGATGCCTGTCCACACTTCATCATAGAGGCCCTACCCCTTCCTGAGGGACTGACTATCCACATTAACTACCGATGGGGGTGGAGGGTATCATTTTCTTTGGTAGTATAGTTATTGATGAGTGTCCATGCCCCAGTAAACAACATTCTACCCATGCTCTGGCACAAAAAGAGAAAGTGGGAGGGGCTTGTTAGGAAGATGGGTTTCAAGGAGAGAGGGGAGTAGGATGAAAAAAATCATTATATAAATGTATGAAACTGTCAAACGATCTTTAAATTTTTGAAGTGGATAATGCTAGTGTGCTCACTTCACTGCCTCTTCAAACAAAAGAGTTGATTAGAATGTGCAAGTTAAGGTAGATGGCTTAGCTACCGAGGTATGTAATGGGCATACAGAAGATAGCAGGGTAACTATGCTTAGAGACCAGAGTGGGGGTGGGGGACATGCAAATGAGTTAAATCTGCATCAGAGGAACATAGTAACTATAAAGCTAGCAAATCATCAAACAGCAATTTAAACATATTTTTACCTAAGCATAAAGACGATCGATCCTCCAGAAGGAAAGCCACACTTTAAAATATATAGTTTTTATTTATTATTTATATTTGTGTGTGTGTGTGTGCGCGCGCGCGCGCATGTGTGTGAGTATAATGTCTGCATTAGGTAGTTGACGCACCCGTGTTGAGCAATGCACATGGTCAGAAGAGGGCATCGGATCCCCTGGAACTGGAGTTACAGATGGTTGTTAACTGCTATGTGGGTGCTAGGAACCAAATATGGGTCCTCTTCAAGGGGAACCAGTGCTATTAACCCCCGAGTCATCTCCCCAGCCCCAAAGCCACACTCCTTAAAATGTGTATTCTACAGAACATATGGGCAAGGGAGTAAGTAGCAAAGTACAGGGACTGGGAATTCAAGAACATGGGTCGCTCTTCCCCCACATCAGTGTAAAAGTATGCACCATGATATT